CGATTTTTTTGGAGAAATCTGTTTTGGCCAGCATATTTTTATTTAATTTCTCACACTGCTTCCAACAATTCTTGTTTATTTACACATAAATAAGTTAACATTGGCGCTGTTATTCCGGTTTCTGATGCACGAAGGCCTCTTCATATCTTCTCTTCAGCTCTGCTTTATTCGATGTGCTTCCGGAAGACTCGTCAATCGTCCGGAACCCGCTTCCCCGGGTGGTTGCACCTGAAAGAGTTGTTTACATCTGTAATTTTATTAGCTTTGATATTATTAGACACGTGTCAATATTCAAATCAAATCGTCTCACCTGAGAATGTCCCCGACTTACGTCAAAGACCGACTAACCAATCCGCGAATGTGGCTAGAGGGACAAGCTCCAAAAGTTGATTTTATATAACACTAAAACGAATAATCAATAAAAAGTCGATTGATTCATCTAGTGCCCTAGCACTTGCATATCTACTCTCTGATTCAATTATGAAGTCTGCTAATGCTGAACTAAATTAGGGTACAGAACTCTTGCCGAAAGACCACTTAGCGAACTGTCGCTTCGCGCATTTTACGCGTATATAGGAACTTGGCAGCCGCCGACTTCGGAGTATATACTTTTTTAGAATCATAAATTAGTTGCGACGGTATGCAATGCTTAGGCTATGTTTATTCTAATGGCATCCAAATCTAAAACCTTGGTCCCCTGACCCAGGATTATGAATGCTCATGGAGAACCATGAACCATCACTACAAGATGCTCCAGGACGAGTCAGATAACAAACATCAAGGGGCAGAGGTTCTGTGAGCTACAAAAAAAGCGACACTAAGCTAACGGGTAGGTCGGAACTTTGCCCTAATAGCTCCTTTTAAAGAGATTGCGACGCACTTGGAGAGTGGCTGAAATAATAAATTATCGACGAAAGCATTATCTGCGTAAGTCGTGGCGAAAAATATACCCTCCAAAATAGAACGTACTGAAAATACTTCACAATATTGTCTTCGGATTGGTTTCTTGATTAATCATTCAAGCTTTTTTCGAAGGGCTCTTCTATCAATAAATAAATCTCCCCTTAGCACAAAAGCATGAATGTTAATTTGTGAAAATTTTTAAAATTAATCGTTGGCTGTGGATCGGAGGCCTCGAGAAAATAGTCCCCTAAAAAACAAAGCGAGGCAAAATAAGAGAGTTTTCATCATATGATCAAGTAAATGAGATATGAGTAATTGTTTTTTAATATATGGAAATGCTATCATAACTAAATTTGGTCCTGCCTGAAGCGGATCAGCATTAAAGTATGAATTCAATATAGGGTACTGACAAAAAAATAATAGAATTGTTAAACATTCATCCAGCATAGCTATCGTAAGTTTGCACAAAATAGGAAAAAAAACAATAAAATGTGGAAATTTAATTTAATAGTTGATAATGAAGCTTAAGATGGAAGGAATAAATAGTGAGAACAGAAATATTTCAAATTCCAAGTATCACATTCTAAGAGAGAAATTAACATCATAAATAGGCGCATAACAGGGAAATAGAGATATTACGGTTAACTTAAACCTATATGGCAGAATAGGCGGGGCATCAAAGCCTGGATGCGCATCAAAGAAAAATCAGCAAATAAATAATGGGAGTGATCATATATGAAATATATTGGCCTAAAAAATGTATGATGGCTGTGCTAAGAGAGCGAAATAAGTAATTTAGCTCACTGGGTGTTGTTTTGATTATATTCTATAGAAATATTGGTAGCGAAAATTTGAAAATAGAATTTAAGGATCAAAATAGGCATGAATAAATATCCCAGGAAGTTTTAGCTAAAGAAAATGATTTGGGAGGTCCTCTATAATAGAACTTAGGAAGTTGCATCAGATACGATATGAACAAGTCTACTGGATAGGCAATGATAAAATAAAACGTATATTCAGATTAAAACGTACCTAGACCACAATGTTTCCTCTCATAAGCAGCATGCTTGAGTCCGCCTTTAAATTGCTCTTCTAGGTTTTGTATAATAATCTCAGTATTAGCGGTGGCTCTGGCGTTTCTCTCGTATTCGCCGATAACTATTTTACCTTTATGCTCTCTCTTGGATGAGGCACCCATTAATCGTAAAAACTTTTCTTTTCTTTCATTGGAGCCTAGATCCGCTTCTTCCCAAGAGTTTGCCGAATGAGTTCCAGAAATCTCATGAGGATGCTTGCGATTCTTCTTCATTTGATCCTCATTTCCAAGCCTTGATTTTGAATGTTTTCTTATCACTTTAGTACTATAACTTTTTATCTTATCACTCCTATCATCAAAACTATCCATAATTGTAGGCCGAGACAAAAAATATTTTTAAAAAAGAAGGTGGAGTATGCGGAGCTTTAGTCTAGCCGAAATAGTGTGCAGGTTTTGCGATATATAAAACAAAATAACTATTTAGCCTCAAAAAATAGACAGCTTTGTAAAAATAAAAAAATGTCAGTGCTCGAACTTAATAAATATAACACTAATTATTTTATAATTACGTTATTATATTTGTATTATCACTATAGCGAGAATGGAA